CTCACCGGGAACCTGCTCTTCTGTTTGTCCTCCACCCAAGTACCGGCCGCTGCGACTGGCTACCTTCCTCCTGGCTCGAGAAGAGCTCCTGGCTGCATGGCTCAAGGGATTTCGGGGTATCTCCATCCAGCCCACCACCATCACTCCCGTTTTCCTCCTCCTCTTCCTCCTCTCCTCCCTCTCCCCCCCCACCGGCTCTGAAGTGTCCATGGTGGTGCTCGGAGTGGAGGTGGGGTTAACCCCAAGTATCGCATCCAGCTATTTGTAGAATCGGCAGGTCGTGGGGGGAGCACCCGAGCGGCCGTTTGCATCGCGGGCTTTGCGGTAGGCACTCCGCAGCTCCTTCACTTTAATCCTGCACTGCAGGGCATCCCAGTCATGGCCTCTTTCCATCATGTCCTTTGATACCTTCCCGAAGGTATCGTAATTCCTACTGCTGGAGCGCAGCTGGGACTGTACAGCTTCCTACCCCCAAACACTGATGAGGTCCAGCAACTTGCCATTGCTCCATGCTGGGGCTCGCTTGGCGCGTGGAGGCATGGTCACCTGGAAAGATTTGCTGATAGCACGCCATGCCGGGCTGAGCAAACAGGAAGGGGATTTTTAAAATTCCCGGGGAATGTAAAGGGTGGGTCACATGGTTGGTTACCTGAGGCCAGGGCAGTAGAGTTTGAACTGATGACCAGAGTGGCTAGGACAGACATTGTGGGATACTCCTGAATAATTCTGGAGGCCATTCACAGCGCATTGGGCGGCCACACTGGCGCCGCAGCACTGCAGCGGCAGCGCAATACTCGCTATTCCTCTCGGAGAGGTGGAGTACATGCAGCGCTGCAACCACGGAGCTACAGCACTGCAAATGCCTTGCCAGTGTGGACGGGGAGTGAGTTACAGCGCTGGGGGAGCCTTTACAGCACTGTAACTCGCCAGTGTAGCCAAGGCCTGTAAGAGTCCCAACTTGCTAATGTAAAGGATGTTTGTGAAGTTTGATTTACTAGATGTAACAGTAGCCATTTCATTCTGGGAGTCTTGACCTCTGCCATGTGACCAGGGCCAGCTCTACCATTTTGGCCACCCCAAGCAAAAAAAAAAAGAGAAAAAAGCCATTCGAACTGCCGCCCGAACTGCCAAAGCAAGAAAAGAAAAAAAAAGCTGCCTGGACTGTGCCGCCCCAAGAATGGACGGAATGCCACCCCTTAGCATGTGCCGCCCCAGGTGTGTGCTTCCTCTGCTGGTGCCTGGAGCCAGCCCTGCATGTGACAAGGGACTGTTTGTAACTCTAATCCTTGTCATGTGAGTGGGGTTACAAGCTAAAGACTAGTCTTACCATGACTCCTGGTTGTCACACCTTTATTACATTTGGGTCAGGAAATATACTGCTTCCCATGCCACAGCCCTGGCTCCTGTGCCCTGTGTTACTATCAAACACCTTTATTTCTGAGCTTTGGCAGATGGCATTTATATAAGTGATGCCACTTATTTGACTATGAACAGCATAATTTGAAAATGGGGGCATTAAGGTTTGGAAATGGAGTCAAAATTTTTTCTAAATGTTACCTCAGGTAGGTACTCTACCTGAGCAGAACCGATAATAAAGAAGAATTGTGACAATTACAGAATAAACTTGTTATTGGCTAGATACTAACCTAAATCCTTCCCTTGAAAATAAGGGAGACAATTACTCAGGTCTTTCTCCATTTTGCCGATGATTATTTCTTTACAAAGTGTGGAAGGACAATAATATCTTTGTCATTACAACCTGACACAGAACAAATTTGTTTCCAGATTAAGTGATCTGAAGTTGCTGTCTAAATAGGTGTTTAATTAAAACGCATTCACATGGAAGAAAGTAAAACAGACTGATTTAATTACCAGTTTACTTAACACTCCCACTCAGAAAAAGAATTGAAGTTGCAAGAGTTCAGTAAAATATTGTCATTTGTGGAACTCCTCAGGTTTAAGCACAGATGGTGTTTTCTTCCTTTTCCATGCAATATAGTTTTTACTAGAATTATTTTGTTCTTCCATGAGAAAGCAAATCAAGTTTAGTTCTATATTCATTTCTATTTATTTATTGTGATAGCACCCAAAATATGGTAGGTTCAGACACATAGGGAGACAGAGTCCCTGCCCCGAAAGATTACACTCAAGAAGAAATATTTGTATTACCTTAGTGGGGACTGAACCAATGGTATTATAATCAAGCACTCATAGTGTTGGGCTATGCTTGCAACATTGTTGTTTTGTCCAGTGTAGTGTTTTGTATTCTAGACCTTGCTATTACTCCCATTTGGCAAAGCTTCCATTGACTTCAATGAGAGCACAACCACACTCTGTTTCAGACCCAAATCGTTGCCTTTGCAGGTAGGAGGAGATAAGACCCCTGGCTAGTAGGAAGAGTGAATGCCGGTCTTTCCCACCTCTTGTCTTGGGATCCCTATTCAATAATCTGTTCACAGGCAGTGGGCTGAGGCAGGACTAGGGTGGTGCCAGTCATCACCCCCCTCCAACCCTTTGGGGAATCCACATAAAAGGTAATGCTAGCAGCCAGCCCCTCAGCATATTCAAAGGTGGCTGGGGTCTAGGGTCTCTGTGATAGACAGAGGAGCCTCTAGCAACAAGGGGCACAGGATCTGTACTGCCATGGAGCTGGAGGAAGCTGGGAGGCAGTGCAAAGGCTCAGGGCCTCTGTGCAGACTGTCCCAGCCCAGACTGAGCAGCATCTAAGCAGGTTTTCCTACTTCAGTTAGTGTGTGAGTGCCTTCTGACTTTAATCTCCAGCAGCCTGTATTGCTTAAGAATGAAAAAGCCACACAGGCTCTCTCCCTCAAATCTTTGCCAATAAAACCCCCCCTAGATACAAACCCCACTGAGTTTCACTCATTTGGGGGGAAGAGTCCCTCATTTGGTTCATTTTAAGGCAGTTTATAGAATATATCACTCATATGATAAAGCGCTGGCTCCGTGTTTTCAATGTGGCATTATAAACTGCATTGCTAAATTTCTGAAATCACTCATTCAAATTGTCACAGCTTGACAGTCCTGCCTATCCTATAAAAAACACAAAATTATGAAGCTATCTTCACTGGGAGAAGAATAAAGAAAAGAAAGAAGCTAGACAAATATATTTGGACCCTTCTTTTTTGTTACTCAGCTGGAAGCGCAACTGTGGGTGAATTCACAGATTAGCGCTGTGGCCTATACACCACTAAAGTCCCAGTTTAGCCCTAACATGACATATACCTTTTGCTGGCTCTTTGTGGAGGAGTGAAGTTCACCTTCTGTCCTTACATAACCCCTTTTGACACTCTATATTTGTATTTGCAAATTGTCCATGAACTGTGGTCATGTTTGTACAACGAAGAGCAACAAGGATTTGTGGACTCTGCAAAACCAGAATGTCCCCAGATTCTATTGTTTATTCTTAGCTAGTTCAATAAAAAGAATAACCTGCTCTTTTCCTGGTTGCTTTGATGTGTATTCTTTGTCTTCAGTTCCAACAGACGGCGATAGTTCTGCTGGGGGAGCTGACAATGGATATGAGCTACGTGGCCCAGCAGAGGGCAGCAGGCTAACAGAAGATGTTGCTGCCTGTAATCAGGTATCTGCTGCCGGCCGCTTTCTTCGGAGGATATTTGGTTTGCATTTATCACTGTCACACCCTGAGATCCAGCCTCTTTGATGTAAGTAGCCGCAAAAAGTGAGGCGATTTTGAGAAAATCATTACATGCTGAGAATAAAGCTGGGAGAGAGAGAAGGGAAAAAACACCAGGACCTGTTTAAAAACTCTGGTTCCCAAATTGCAGCAGCCTGTGAGACCAATGCAAGAAGAGGCAGGGTCCCTTTTCTGCAAAAGTATATGATGGGGGAGTGGAGATCCGTTTGGTTAGATCGCTTGAAGGGGAGGGAGGAAGGAGGATAAATATAATAACTGGCAGATGAGAACAAGAGGCTGGGTTGTGCAAGGAAACCCCTTTCCTGTAGTGGGTGTGATGCAGGTAGGGCCAGGGGAGCAGACCCCAATCTAGAAACAGATCAGGAGGGAGGCCAGTTCTAAAGAAACTTTGGGGGTGTGCCCTGTTGTTGCCCCTCTAATATCCTGCCACCAACACGGCTACAAGTTGGGTGAGGTAATATCTTCTTGGTCCAACTCCTGTTGGCCGGAGACAAAAGCTTTCCAGCTTACACAGAAGGAAGAGCTCTGTGTCAGCTCCAAGCGTGTCTCTCCTCAACAGGAGTTGGACTAATAAAAGCTATTACCTCACCCCACCTTTGCTAAGGGCAGGGCAGTGTGGGAAGAGGGGGGCTGTTTCCTAGTAAAGAGGCAGGACTACCCGCATCTTCACTGGTATCAATTCCCCTATATTCTCCTAAGGTGGAAACAAAACGTGTGTCGGCGTGCGTCTGTGCTGTGCCCCTCGGGGGGTACTTTGGTATCTGTGTATATAAAAATAGTGTATATATCTGTGTGTATCTCCGTGTATGAGTATATCTGTTGGTGTGTATTTCTGGGTATGAGTATCTGTATCTGTCGGTATATATATCCATGCCTCTCTGTGTGGGTCTATCTGTCGGGGTCTATCTCTGGGTATGAGTATCTCTGTGTCTTTGGGTATCTGTCGGTGTGTATCTGTGTCTGTCTGTGTGGGTCTATCTGTCGGGGTCTATCTCTGGGTATGAGTATCTCTGTGTCTCTGGGTATCTGTCGGTGTGTATCTGTGTCTGTCTGTGTGGGTCTATCTGTCGGGGACTATCTCTGGGTATGAGTATCTCTGTGTCTCTGGGTATCTGTCGGTGTGTATCTGTGTGTACATCCGTGTCACTCTGTGTGGGTCTGTCTGTCGGGGTGTATATCTCTGTGTGTGTGTGTATCTCCCGCTGCCTGCCTGGCTGTAGCTCTGTCTCTCCGTGTGTGCCCGTGTGTCTGGCTGGCTTTCCCTGCCCTACCCCGGCGGAGGGCAAGCAGGGAACTGAGCCGCTGCTCGGCGCTCTGGGCTGGGAGGGAAGCTGCTGTTGGCACAGGGCTGAGCCTGTCCCGCGGAGCTGGACCAGCAGCTGCTCCGGCCCCGGGCTGTGGGAAATGTTCCCCCGGCTGTGTGGGCTGCTCCGTGCCGGGAGCGCGGCGTCCTGTGCACAGGGATGGCCCGGCCCCTGGAAATCCGGGGGGGTCGCCCCTGGCGCGGGTGTCCGCTGAGATGTGCCTGCGGGGGAGGGCTGCCCCGCTGGGGCCGGGGCTCGTATCGCTCTGTCCGCCCCCCCTTGGCAGAGCGGGTCTAATGAGGTTCCCAAGTGCCCCCTGCGGCCGGGCGGCGGAGAGCCTGTGCGCCCCTCAGAAACCCGCTTTGATTTCCGCCGGGCGGCACCTAGCACCCGGCCGCTAATTCTCCTGCCATTATTGCAGGGAAATCCTGGGGCATTTCCCCCGCAGCCAGCGGCAGCCGCGGCATCAGAGCGCGCTTCACGTGGGTGCCTGGCTGCTGGCTACCCGGGCGATGGGTGAGAGCCAGAGGGGAGCCCGCTCCGGCTCCAGCCTTGGCCGAGAGAAGAGACCTGTTGAGCGCTGATCTCCTGCAGTGTCTGCCAGACTTGGGCTGAGGCTGAGCGGCTGATGGAAAGAGAGAGCATTTTAATTCTATCAGCCTAGGTAGGATGGACCTGCCCCCCTGCCTCTGCCCTCATGGCCAATAAGAAGAGACCCGGCTTGACACCTGCCTATATACAGAGGACGAGAGCAAAATCTTCAGCACTGATCTGTGCAAGGGGGGGTGGGGGAGGAAAAAAGAAAAGGGGGGGGGAAAGTCCAGGCCAGATAAGTGGGGACGTTTGTACTATAAAACCCCCAAAGACTATGACTTCCAGTAAAATTGAGATGCCAGGAGAGGTGAAGGCAGACCCTGCAGCTCTGATGGCATCTCTGCATCTGCTGCCTTCTCCCACTCTCAACCTTGAAATCAAATACACCAAGGTAAGTTGTGTTCATTTATTCTGGCAGGGAGCTCACAGCTTTCCCCCCAGAAGAGGGATTTTGCTTAACATCGGTTCCAATCTGCCCTAACCGACTTCAGTGCAGAGATAAAAAACTGCCTTGAAACACTAATAAAGGAAACGGATTGTTGTAGCCCTGTAACCATCTGGAAAGCCAAAGGATAATAGAAAAGCAAATGATATTTGCTGAGGTTGGCTGTACCATTTCTATGCTTCTTTAAATGTTTTCCACAAAATTGCTCAGTTTTATTTTCAGTGTAGCAGTCAGTGCTTCCCTTATACATTTCAGTTGCTCCTGATGGAAATCAGAGGAAGTTATATATACTTATACTTCTCAATCAGAAAATAAAAATGTTTTCTTTCTTGAAATGGTCCATGTACCCCTGGGACTTTTTTTACAATTCCTGGAGGGCTCTTAATCCTCCCAGGTTGTTACAGCCTTGAAACAGGTCTCTTGACTAACTTCCTCAATATCTGAGTATGCCCTTGAAATGACATTGTTTAGAGGGCAAATTATCTTAATATTTAAGACATATAGTGTCATATTATATTTTCATTAAGGCATGGTTAAGAATTATCCAGTTGGGTCACTGTATATACATGCTCAGGATTTCTATATTACATTATAGAACTGAACAGTTTCCAGAGGCTAAAACAGGCTTTTAGACCAGTCGTTTGTAAATGCAAGTTCAATTTTTAAATTCGTTTTTGTGTTTTGAATCTTTACACCTTTAGTACCTTGAACTGAAGTATGTTTTCATTTGTGCTGGAGAAATATCAAATGCATTGTATAAATAAATTTCAATGTTTAAGATCTTATTCCTAATTACTGAGTAACTTAATAGGAAAAGAAAACACATGGACATTAGAAAAAGGCGATAACATTTTTATCTACTGGAAATACACCTTCAAGTGTCTTAGCGCTGATAGGAAACCCATGTTGGCCAATCCATTGTAATATTTTCTTTCCAATTATCACTTTAAAAGCTTTTTTGTCTTTCTTTTTTTTAAACTAGTGCCAAAACGAATTTGTTCTCTAATTTGTTAGTTTTTCCATGTTTTAGAAGAATTTTTGAGGGGAAACTCAACTACTTTAGACTTCATAATTTTTTAATGAGAAACGAGATATACAAATTAAGATTGCGTATATTTGTTTGTTTATAATTTTCCAGAAGGTAATTTAAATGAAAATAGAAAAGTATGTGGGTATTTGAGGGTGATTGGTGTGTCGTTGTAAGGATGATGATATTGAGCAAATATTTTGCATGAATTTTATTTACCGCTTAAAGTTATTAGTTCTTGTATTATAAAATGTGTGTCAGGTATTATGAGTACTCCGAATGATGTTGTGCTTATCTGAGACAGTTTGTATAGTAATTGTGTATACATTTCTCAACGTTATGCAACTGGGGAATTGGTTTAAAAATCTTTCTAAAGTATAATGCAAACTTGTGAGTGGCCACGTGCCTCTTTTTTGTTTGAAAATATTACCAAGGAATATAAACTCTAATAATTTAGAATGAAAATGCCATAATCTCAGAAGTGTGTGAGATCTGACAGATTTTAGCCTAATGGTTGAAGTAAGAGAGTTCATTTTTCAGTATTAAAGCAACAACAAAAATGTTTTACCAGAATTTGAAATATCAGGTAACTCGTGATTGCCCTTGAAGAAAGAAGTTTGGTATAGAAAAGGTATCTTTAGTATTTTATTTGGCATGTCTTCTGTCTTTGTTTTTCTGTCTGTCTCTATCTCTTTCTCCTCCCCCTCCCTTTTCTTTCTCTCTGCAGGAAAGACAAGTGATTTATAGATAATTGGAGTCTTCAATTTGGAGTCTTGTCTTGGGCAGGACTTTTATCCAGGATCCACTTTCCCACCTATTACAAAGAAAAACAATCAGAAATGAAATAATGGATTGAAACTTGATTCTTTCATTTGGGGGAGGGGTCACTTCATGTCTTAAGTGACAAACAACTTCCATAAACAATAAATAATGCTAGACTAAAGCACTTTACAAAAAACTTGTAAAATCAGACATCTGTAAGCATTTCCAGCAGCCTCTCTCCTCCTGCTTGTTAGCTGAGACCTTTAAACACACAAGCAGCGCTCAGAATTCTTGAACTCCTTATTACAGTTCTCTCTGAATGTAAAGTCTTAACCATTTGGGAGTTAGTTCTTTACATAAAATAAAGGTATTCATGGTAATACAGAGAAATTAAAGTTATTGGAAAATGTTTTTTCTAGTTAAGGATTGCATTTCTGCTGTGTTTTAAATTCTAAACTTGAAAAATGCTTAGGAAATTTTGTTAAGTCTAAAAGCTATTAGACTTCCAGGGAGCCTTAAGTCAGAATCAATATAGATTTTAAAAATGTGCATTGAAAGAAAGTATCACTTTTTTACCCAGAAATCTTTAAAATAGTAAGACGTATATTCTTTTCCTAGGAAAATACCACACTCTTAAGGACCATTGAGTGACATACATAAAATAAACACTGCTTGTGTTTGTGTGTTTAAAGTTGGGTGAATTTCCACTAGTTAGCAATCAAATATCATAAAATTGTTTCTTAACATCATTAAATGCTAGATGTAGTGAAATGAATCAGCAGAGAATGTTTGAGTTCTATCACATATACTTTTGCTCCATGCTTTGGAACATGCACACTGTACATTTCTTCACTGATCAGGAAAAAATTTTTTGCGATGACTGTCAGTTTCCTGAGGCACAAATGCAGTTTTCTTTTAATGTATGCTGTAGTTTACTCTGAATTCCATCCTCAGAAGGGAATGTAGTCTTATTTTTAAAAACTAGTCATAGAAATATATCCCCCTAGATCAGGCATTATAGAAAATGACTAATTTAATATGTAAATAATAGAAAAATGCTGGAAGAGAAACAGCCAGATTCTGTCCAAATTTAAACAAGATTAATGTCCACATGTAGACAGGCTTACAGGTTTAAGGTTAAATATCTCCCTTTCTGGTGACACCCACTGGAACTGCTATGTGCAAGACACTCAAGATTTTCATTATAATTATTATTTTTTAAACCTGTTCTTCATTTCTGAGCCCCATATAAATACGTCGGGAGGGATCATTCCGCAAGGATCACCAGAGAGGAGGGTCTTCCGCTCTTGCATAGAAGCAAAGTCATTCTACAGTTCTGTTTTTCTGCCTTCCTCATCCCCCTGCTCCAAACCTGTGGAGACCTCTGTCAGTCCAGGGATCCATGTATAGGGAGGGGGCAGGCAGGAGGGAATGCCAGGCTGATACACACCCTCTCCCTGGCAACAAACAATAAATCCAATTGTGCCATCTCCATGCTGGGAACTCCTCTAAAATGGGATGTTCCAGGAGCATCAGATGTTGAGGGAAGCCACAGCAGTGAAGCTGCAGTGAAGCCACGCCGTCTGGGTGTTCTGAGCATGTAGTGGAAACTTGGAGATCTGTGTGCAACTGTGGGGACTCTGTGGGCTCCAGAGTCTGAACCCCTTTATCATTTGATCTGTTCTTCTATCTAGTGTTTAAAAATAGATATGGAATTATTCCAATGGAACTATTTCCCCTTGCAGAGTTTTCCTCCTCTAAGGCCACCTCTGGTGTTTTTTTCTGCAGGAATTCTTCATCTCTTGCTGTTGTGTAATCAACCCTGTTTTATAGATAGGACTTCTGAAGTTAGTTTTTAACCACTAAAACACCCCCAATTTGAAAAAAAATGTGTTGATCCAATAAACACTGGAAAAATACCAGAAATGGTTACTCAATTTGTATTGACGTCACCCCTTTCCCAGTGTAGTTTGTTATTATATGGGCAATATTGCTGGTCCCTGGCTTGTATCTACATGGAGCAGTAATGGGGGTTATGGGGATGTGATTTCTAATGTGTTGCGTATTAATTGGTCTGTGTAGTCCCTGCTGGTGGGCACTAAAGGTTCCCTACTGCACTTTAACATAAATAGAACCTCAGAATTATGAACACCAGAATTACAAACTGACCAGTCAACCACACACCTCATTTGGAACTGAAAGTACGCAATCAGGTGGCAGCAGAGACCAAAAAAAAAAAAGTAGAATATTGTACAGTACTGTGTTAAACGTAAACTACTAAAAAAAGGGGGGGGGAGTTTAAGATTTGACAAGGTAAGAAAACTGTTTCTCTGCTTGTTTAGTTTAAATTAAAATGGTTAAAAGCAGAATTTTTCTTCTGCATAATAAAGTTTCAAAGGTGTATTAAGAATGTTGAATTGTAAACTTTTGAAAGAACCATAACATTTTGTTCAGAGTTCCGAACATTTCAGAGTTACGAACAACCTCCATTCCCAAAGTGTACATCACTCTGAGGTTCTACTGTAGTGCCATTTGAAACAGTAAAAAGAACAGGAGTACTTATGTTAAAGCTCAGAAGGGAACAAATGCACTGAACACTAAACCAACGGTTCAATAACAAGGATAAAGCTTAAACTAACACATAAGTCATTTTTATACATATAATAAAAATTAAAGTAGATCCTGCTTAGTCAAGAATTTTGGGAAGTATCTCCACAAAAAATCTTCATTACAGTAGAGTCAGTAGACTCCCAAAAACCTGATTTTTGGACATCTACACAGAACTCAAAAATTACTAAAAATAAACCTCAAAATATAAAACTAATAGATCCTGTTCAATAGAAGCCCTATGTGCAGAGCATTGTCATAGTGATTTTAATAAGTCACATTGACATGAAAGGACAGGGTGGGGTCAGGACTCCTGGGTTCCTTTCCCAGCTCTGCCATTGGCTTGTGTGACTTGGAGTGACCAGCTTCACCTTCTCTGTGTTTCACTTTACCTCCGTATAATGGGGATGATAATAGTCAAGTTAATGTTGAGTTCTAATTCTTGTTTGCATGGCATTTTTAGCTTGAGAGTTTGAGCTTGAGTAAGAGTTGCTAAATTAGGTCCCTTGAGATCCTCTGGTAAAAGGACTGTAACAGGATGAAGTTGCTTTATTACGAAAGGAGTGAGTATATAGTTCTATTAATGGCTCTTTGTTCAGAAAGAATTATACATTAGGATTAGGTGAATAGACTGATGGCCATATTAAACCTGTAACAGGGATTGTCTTCCACTCCTAAACTATAAACTAAATATAGGCCAGTTACAGTTCAGACAATTTAACCAAACTGTAAGTCTAGCCCTACAGCAAAGCAGTAAAATTACACAGTTTGTACTAGGGATGGGCAAGCGACTTCTGGTGAAATAAGAACTGAAAAGAAACATTTGAGTTTCCAAAAGTGTTCGGGGTTTTTATTGGTTGCTACTAAATTCTCTTGCCCGTCCACTCCGTGACATTGCCTAGCACCCTTTTTCTGCAGGTTTTCTTGCCTGCCGGAGATTCTCAGAGTAATTTCTTGACCAAAATTCAGATTAGGGGTGGCAGGGAAGATGATTTATTTGGAATAACTGACCTGAATGTGTTGAACTGAAGCAGAAAGTTTGAAAAAATTCAGGTGAGTAGATTTCTCCCCAGCTATCTTTATCCTTTCTGGTAGCAGATTCTCTTTGGGTTGACGAGTCTTGTTTCATATAAAAAAAAATCAATCTATCTGTGTAACCAGCCATTATTAGCTGGCTAATTTCGTGTAGATTTCGTGGTAGAAGTTGCTCTCAGGGACGTATTTGAATGGGAAGGGGTTAGCGGCCTTGTGGGTCAGCTCAGCTGGAAGATTCCAGGAGTAGGGGGTGCCTGGATGAAAGACAACCAGAGATGGGATCTGAGAAGTGGACAAATGGAACCACTCAGTTCCTCTGTCCAGAGGGTTCAGGTTGCAGAGATGCTGCACTCTGTGATGCTTTTCTCTCTGCCAGCCTGGGTCGGGGGTTGGCTACAGCTCTGCCAGTCTGCTCTCTGTGTCAGCATGGACTGGCAAAGTAACTATTGGATTTGATGCTATGTGGATCCACAGACCTAATCTCTCTGCATTAGGAGTATACTCGAACTGACCAGTGGACCAACTGGTATGTAACAATTTCCTACTGTGACCAGGTCTAGATATTTCAGAGGAAGGTGCACTGAACTGTGCAAAACTACATTGTGGTCTAAAGGGGAAATTTCTTCCTGACCCCTGATGCTTTGAAGCTTGAGTATAGATAATATAATTGAAAATGCTATTATTTTCATATAAATGTATTTATCTGTTCTTAGACTCATAGAAGTTGGAGACTGAAAAGGCCTGTTAAGTTAGTCAGTTAATCCATCTGCCCGGCAATGCAGAATGCCCTCCCCACTCCTTAATCAGATCCTATACATGTTATTATTTGCAATAAACTGAATATAGTATTCCAGGCGAATACATTAATTCCACTGTATGTATCTTCTTCTGTTCACTTCTTTGTGCTGCACATTAAGAGATGTCTTCAATGAACTGTCCACAGTAATGCCTAAATCTTTCTCCAGAGGTTACAACTAATTCAGATTCCATTAATTTGTACTAGTAATTTAAATTCTTCCTTCCAATGTACACTGCTTTGCACTTACCTATGATGAATTTCATCTCTTGTATTGTTTTCCGATTACCTAGTTAGGTTAGCTCCTGATGGAATTTCTCACAATCCCTTCCAGTCTCTTGACTACTTTGAATATTTTTTATCTGCAGCCGATGCACCTCACTGTTAATGATCTAGTGAACAAAGATATTGATTGCCACTAGACATAGTAATGATCCTGGGGCACCTTTCTATTAACCTCTTTCCACCGTGAGAATTGTCCATTTATTTCCACTCTTTGCTTCTTATCTCTTAACCAGTTTTTAATCCATGACAGGACTTTATCTCTCACCATGTGGTTACTAACTTTCCTTAATAGCTTCTTGCGAAGGACTTTATCATCAAAAGCCTTTTTAAAGTCTAAATAAATTATAATCACTGATTCTTCTCTGCCCATCATTTGGATAATTCTTTTCAAAGAACTCTTAACGGGTTACAGAGGCACAATGGTAGAATCTGTATCAGTTTGCCCATATAGCCAAATGGTTCATAAAATATCACTGTTTTTTATGATTTTTTATGATTTTTCTCAACTATTTTTCCTTGTACTGAAACAAGACATTTTGCAATTTAATTTTTCATCACCTCATTTTTTTAGATGACTGTTTTTCATTTGTTTGTTTTAGCTTTTCCAGTATAAGAGTACCACTTCCTCCCTGAAGCAAACAAAACTAAAAGCACAGATGCAGAGACAAAGATACATAGCTCAAGAAAATGAAAGATTGCATAGACCAATGTGACTAATTCATTATTATAAATCAACATGGATGCATCAAAATTCAATCTGGCTGAAAGAGATGCATTGTGACAGTCAAATCGTGTATTTATAGAGAAGTATGACTATAATGGGGCTATGTAAAGACAAGGTATTTTTATTTATTATCAAAGAAAGTCCATTTCTTCAGCAAATGAAAGCTCTTGAGCACTTTCATGCTGTTTGCATATAAATCTCCCTCCACCTTCTCCTTTGGAGTGGCATCCTCAGTCAAGTGATGTGGGGTACCTAGGAACAAACACAAATAAGTGGCTAAATTGACTACTTACAGACTTTTAAACATTATTTGTATTTTATATAATATATTAAAATGATGTAGCTTAAAAAGTGATTGCTTTTTAAGGACCTAATCCTGCATTATTTGCACACTCATGATTAGTGAAGGGCTGGCTGCTCTGATTGTATATGAGCAGCTTGTTTCACCCAGAACACAAGAATTTCCGTACGTTGGAATCAGTCAAAAATCATAACAGCCCTGGCCAGTGTTTTCTGTTATTTTTAATAATGATCTACACTATGTGTAGATAAATGTGACATTTATTTAAATTAATACAATGTGGTCAAATTTTTAGTGCACAATTTGTTACTTAAATATGCGGTACAAATCGCTACATCAAAGTGAAACAAAGTCAACACTAAAATATTCTCCAACAACAAAAACAGAATTCCTCCGAATTCACTCCGAACCCTGCCCAGAGGGTGCTTGGTGAACTAGATTTTGCAACATGACCTAAAAGTCAATGCATTCAGGTGTTGCTGGACTGAAGTAGGAGTAATTTTCAGAGGGGAGGGCCCTCTAGTGAAAATTCCCTGACACCCGATCTGATCTCAACTTTTACAATAAAATACAAGGAGAGAGGCAATCTCCAGAATACACAGGAATTAATCCATAAAGCAATTAGTAGGTCACAGTCAACACTCTAAATTGCACTTAGAACCTAAGTGGAAGCCAATGTGACCTATTGAACAGAGGTATAATGCAGTCCCTGCACACAAATGTATGCAATGGGCCACATTTTAATCCAGCTGCAGTTTTCATGTGGTCTTCAGGTGTAGCCCATAGTAGAGTAATTCAATTGCAGGAATCTATGCTGGAGGTGGCAGGGGCATGGAGAATTGTAGTGAAGTCCAACTCGGAATGAAAAGGTTTCCACCTCTTTGCCAAGCTCAGATGAAAAAAAAAAGCACTCTTCGCTGTTCTCTGGACATCCAGCAGCAGGCAATGACTGAACATTCCTAAAATTGCAAACGTGGGTAATAAAAAGTGCCTTTCAACACAAAGAATCTCCAAACACACCTCTCTCTATAAGTATCACGGGGTAGCCGTGTTAGTCTGTATCTACAAAAACAACAAGGAGTCTGGTGGCAAAAATACTTTATCCATCGCTGAAGTGAATCCACTTCTGGGGTGCAACACATTAGCTGCGTAACAATGCAGAGCAACACAAAGCAACAGTTTGAAACCGGAAGTGAAAAATACTAGCGTCAATTGAACTTGGAGAGGATTTTAGGACGGTGAAATGTAATTACCTAAACTAAAATGTGACCATAATACAAAGGTTAACAACCCTAGCCTCCCCGGGTGAAAAATGCCACAGGATTTTAAATGACAGTGTTTGGTCAGGACCTCAATTCTTCATTTCATCTGAAATATGACATCCCTAGCAGCACCATGCTGGGGCATTGTTTCAGTGCTGGCTCAGTGGGAAGTATGCCACATACTAAATCACCAACTCCACTTTTAGGAGCACCCTGGGATTTCCTGGGAAGTTTCTCATGCAATTACTGGCCAGGCCTCAGCCTGATTAGGTTGTGAGATTTGAGGTAGCATTTGGGGCTGCTTGTAAGATCTCAGAATTAATCTCTTTGTAACATATATGAAATAGTGGCACCCTTGACTGATAGGTTGTTGTTTAAATAGAGTAGTAAAGAGCAGTCCCTAGGACAGGTATTTCCCCATTCTCTTCTGTGATGAAGACTTATGACCCCCCTCCTCCAGGCCCCCATCTTTTAATTTAGGCCCAGACTGCCTAGAAAGTCTCCTAGCTTTGTGTGCTTCCAGATATGGGTATTCAACTTGAGACACACAACATCAGGGGCCAGTTCTGAAAATGTCAGTCTTAGCTTAGTCTGTGGCCTCCTTTAGTCTCCCGTTCACAGCCAGGTTGTCTTGTGATCCCGCTGACTCTCCTAAAGCTGCTTTTTTAAAAAAAAGAGTCTACACTTTATTTTTAATTTGCCTTTACATCTTTGGTATTTTCTCATCAAATACCTCAAAGCAGTTTTCTAATTTTCATTTTATATCTTTCTGCCTCTACATTTTATGTTCTCTTCTATTAGCATCACTTAGGCAGGATTGCTTTTGCTTTTATTAAGGATATTTTTTGGCCTGCTTAAACCCTTGTATCTTTCTGTTTAACCATCCCATTTATTTTCTTGTCTCTTTGCTTCCTTTTTTTGGCCTTGGGAATGCAAATCTTCTGTGACTCGTATACATTCGTAAGCCTCCATGCTGATTCTATGGATTTTAATTTCCTAACTTCAAGCAGGAGGTTTCTAACTTCCTTCCTTTTCTTAAAAAAAAAAATACCCCTCTTGAAGTTTTAGTATCCCAGAGAGTAGTGCTTCTTCATGTGATCCTCTCCTGCAATGATGTTGAAATTATTTATGTGATAACTGTTACTCAATGGTTCAGCTACAATTACTTCTTAAACCAACTCCTGTGTGACAGGACTAAGTCAAGTGTGGGTTAGAATATAGAGAATTATTTTTTACACTCTCTTTCACAGCATAATATTCACTCGGGTAATATGTGATTATTATTCTAATAGCTTTTATTGCCTCCCTGTTCTTTTTCAAATTTAACTTCATGATTATTGTTCTGATCCAGAGGTCAGGACTATGCCCCTGCTATTGTGTTTGTATTTTATGACCACAGATTTGTATCCACTGCTGATTCTACCTCAGAGTCTTCTCTACCCAGACATTTTCGTTCAATAGAATTCATGGAATTCTTTATGTATGGGGCTACTCCCCCCATCTTTGCAGCCTAACCTGTCCTCCCTATGAAGTTTATAGCTAGAAATTATGGTATGCCACTGATTATTCTCACCCCACCATGTTTCAGACATGCCAGGGTTTTTTTCTCGCAGTGAGACAGTCCAGATCACCCATTTTTCTCTTAAGCTTTTTGCATTGGTTTATAGGCACTTGTACTTTTATAACTGTAAGATGACTTGGATGAAAGCTGCAGGCTGACCAGCTGAAAAGCCTACAAAGCCTCTTCAACTAGATCACTATGGCATTTCCTGAGACATAGGACCTACTTCTCATTTACCACCCTGGCAGTGAAAAGGGTCTTAAAATGGAAGTAAATTATATTTACAGCCACTTTAAGCCCCCTTTATGCTGCCACAGTGATGTAAAGGGGCTTGGTGTAAATGAGTATCAGGGCTCATGGACCTGAAAAGAGGCATTTTATTTTGCATTCTGAAATTGAACAAGAGTTTGTCGTCACTGCTCTTTCTGACCCATTTTAGAAGTGCCTTCCTCAGATCCCAGCACTTGCCACTGTGCATCTCCATCAAGCACCAATTTACCTTATCGTACGAAATCTCTATTTCCTCCTAATTGCTTTGAATACTAATCAACATTAAGCCATCTGTATAGGTTAACTTAATGGAGTGGGTAGAAACAAACAGTGTAATAGGCTGTTCACCTGTTCAAATCAAGGAAAAAGGAGAGCTTTCTTTAATGGTTCCCTCTTCTTTCAGGCTGGAAAGTGTGGTTCTAGCAATTTCTGTACTGGGGCACCCTGAAAGCTCTGACAAGAACTTACAGCTCCTGAAGCTAACAAAGGGGCTGGTCCAAAGCCCCCACAAGTGAGCGAGTCTTCCCATTGAGTCCAGAGGAGTAGGCCCAAATAGGAGCCAATAACTGAACCCAGGATCATCCTGTTCAGAGACCTACAATGGTCTTCACTTGTTTAACGTTGTTTTTATTTAATTGTAATTTTTGCAAACTTAAAATACCCGATCCAGCTGTTTTTCTTCCTAGGTGCCTGAGGTGCAGAGGCTACCATTACACTGTGTCTGTGGCATAGCTTAATAAGATTTCAGCCCTGACTTCTCCGTCACCCATCAGGCTTTCTTAGTCTTTCCTTCCTTGTCTCTACCATAATTCCCCAGCCACTTCTACTAAGGGTCTGAGCCAAAGCCCATTGAAGTCAATGGGACTCTCTCCATTGACTTTGCTGAACTGGAGCAGGTTCTAATTCCCCACCTGTTCTTTTTAGGCAGGCAGCTCAGGTCTCAACCGGCTGTCTGAGACTCCAGAGCAACATGTCTGTGCTGTGTTAACCGGGTCCTACTGGTCTGAGCCCTTTGATAGTCATTTTAAAACCATTTGTTATTTTGGTAAAGACATTTTTACCTAAAGTCATTCCTGTGCAATAAATAATACTCAGCACTTTCCCTCCAAGGATCTCGAAGCTTCTAACAAACATCAATTACTTCAGCCTCCCATCATCCCCGGGAGACTGGTGAGTGTTAGGTCTGTTTTACAGCAAGGGAAGCTCAGGTTATACAAGTCAGTGTTAGATTCAGGATTCGAATCCAGATCTCTTGACTTCCCCATCCATCACTGCATTACCCTGTGCTTTCCTTGTCTTTGAATAGAGAAATGGCATATTTTAAATAGTCCAAGCGGCAAGTTCTCTAAATTACTCCCTCTGCAGAGATGCATGAGTATCAGAGACCTCAGAAAAAAGAACAGGAGTACTTGTGGCACCTTAGGGACTAACAAATTTATTTGAGCATAAGCTTTCATGGGCTACAGCCCACTTCATCGGATGCATAGAATGGAACATATAGTGAGGAGATATATATACATACAGAGAACATGAAAAGCTGGGAGTTCAACTCCCAGCTTTTCATGTTCTCTGTATGTATATATATCTCCTCACTATATGTTCCATTCTATGCATCCGATGAAGTGGGCTGTAGTTCACGAAAGCTTATGCTCAAATAAATTTGTTAGTCCCTAAGGTGCCACAAGTACTCCTGTTCTTTTTGCGGATACAGACTAACACGGCTGCTACTCAAAGACCTCAGAGACAGTCATAACACCGGAGACAAATTAACAGGCTGAGAGCCCTGGACAAGACAATGCACATTTGGAATTGGGCTGCTTCCTCAAATGCTCAGAAGGTTGAAGTTAGTGTATTACAT